GTGGACGCTCTGACTAAGGAGGACGTCACAAAGTGCAACGCCGCTTTGTTCGATTTAATGTCCCATGGTCGCCTGATTTTGGTCGACGAGAGTTCAGAGGTGGCGAGACGCCGCTCCGAGCCGCAGCTCAAGAGTCGTTCGCAGGCAGCTTCGAGAGAGGAACTTGCCCGAGAGTCACAGCCCACGTGGATCCAGTTCCTGTCGGGAAGCTCAGCTGGTGGTGGTGGTGGTGGTGGTGTCGGTTCTCCTCCCCCCTCCTCCCTTTTCTCAGCTGAATCATCTACGTGCATTTTGTCCTTGCCATCTCCGCTCTTTCAGTGATAATTTTCTCGCGTGCTGTTGCCGCTATTTGCTATCCCCTCTCCGTTCAAGTAGAGAAGGGGGCCGTTCCAGCACAGGAACGGATAGTTGCATTTAGTTGAGCCCAAGAGGGTGCTAAACCTAGGAGAAGTCAGACGGGTGTGACTGATCTCCAGATTTTACGTATTAGGTTTAGCATTTGAGATCATTACCTTGATCGTCCTACCGAGTTGCAGTGTGTGCTTGGTGTACTGTTACCCTCTCTGGCTCAAGCCCAAAAACGTTCATCCAATCCTGTGCTGCCACACTGGGATCGTCGACGATGGTTTTATCCCAACCCCCGACTCTTCAACGAAGAATGAAGCGGCCAAGAAGAGAGGTGAAACCCTGAGATACACCCCCCCGGGAGCTCTCCAGACGCACCCCATGAGGGTGGACGCCCTTTTGGTCCACCCGAAAAATCCCAAAGGCAAGGACAGGGGTCGACGCAGCCGCTGTTACGGGAGGGATCTGGGCCCCAGGCGGGGTCCAGAGATCGGGTTCGACTGGGACCTTGGCGGGAGGGCCCAGACCTCTCAGGCGGGTGTCTTTTTGGCGCCGTTGCGCCGTTGTCGGGGGCCAGGGGCGGCGCCGTTTGCTGGCCTCCGAAGTCAAGCAGTGGCGAAGCCGCCTGGCTCGCCCAGAGGCCCGCTAAAATATGTTCTAAAAACATGTTTTATTGTCTGCGCGGAATGTTCAGCACATTTCTGGTTGAGAATGTCTTCTTTTCACGCATCGAGTTTGCGTTTCAAAGCCATTGCGATTCTTTTCGATTTTTTTCCGGTTCCAAGGAATTTTGTGTTAGGCTTATAGGAATGCCGGGACGGTCGGTCCCTGCTCAGCGAGGAATGACCGATCCCCAATACCTCCTCGCGCAGTGAGAAAATCACACTGGCAGGTTTCGAGCCGTTTTCGGCCTCCTGATGGCCCTTCCCTGGCCCGGGGGCTGTCCATCATTCGGCGCGGAGGTCTCCCAATGTGCGTCAATTTTCGAGCGCTTTATTGGAGAGGCCTGACGGCCGGTGCCGCCGACCCTGATCGAAGGGGCTAGGAGGGGGAGGAGGAAGCGAAGGATGAGGAGGAGCAGGAGGAGGAGGAGGAGGAGGAGGAGGAGGAGGAAGAGGAGGAGGGTGAGGAGGAGGAGGACAGGGACGAGCACGAGGACGAGGAGGAGAAGGGATGAGGGGGAGGAGGGAGGGGGAGGAGGAGGAGGAGGAGGAGGAGGAGGAGGAGGAGGAGGAGGAGGAGAGGAGGAGGTGCAGGAGGAGGAGGAGGAGGAGGAGGAGGAGGAGGAGGACGAGGCTGGGGAGGAGGTGCGAGGAGCAGGGAGGAGGAGGAGGAGGAGGAGGAGGAGGAGGGGAGGAGGAGGAGGAGCAGGAGAGCAGGAGGAGGAGGAGGACAAGGAGGAGGAGGGATGGGAGGAGGAGGAGGAGGAGGAGGAGGAGGAGGGGAGAGGAGAGGAGGAGGTGTTTTTGATGATGATGAGGAGGAAGAGGATGAGGAGGAGGAGGAGGAGGAGGAGGAGGCGGAGGAGCAGGAGGTTCGAGGAGAAGAAGGAAGAGGAGGTGAAGAAGCAGGAGGAGGAAGAGGAGGAGGAGGTCGAGGAGGAGGAGGAGGAAGAGGGGCGGAGGATGAGGAGGATGAGGAGAAGGAGGAGGAGGAGCAGGAAGATGAAGAGAAGGAAGGAAGAGGTGAAGGAATAGAAGGAGGATTTGGAGGTGGAGGAGGAAGAGGAGGAGGAGGAAGAGAAGGAGGAGGAGGAGGAACAAGGTGAGGAGGAGAAAGGAGGAAGGGAGAAGGAGGAGGAGGAGGTGGAGGAGGTGAGAAGGAGGAGGAGTAGGAGAAGAGGATAATGATGATGATGATGATGATGATGATGATGATGATGATGATGATGATGATGATGATGATGATGATGATGATGATGATGATGATGATGATGATGATGATGATGATGATGATGATGATGATGATGATGATGATGATGATGATGATGATGATGATGATGATGATGATGAGGAAGAGAAGGAGGGGGGGAGGAGGAGCAGGAGGAGGAGGAAGAGGAGGAGGAGGAGGAGGAGGAGAAGGGGGAGGAGGATGAGGACGAAAAACCTCCTCGCGACGCCCTCCAGGCGTTCTCGAAGGCTGCCGGGGGAGTCGGATCTGGGGGGGGGGGGGGGGGGGGGGTCCCCGGGTCCCCCCCCGCGGGATCATCCCGGGTCACCCCCGGGACCCCCCCGGGACCCCCCCGGGTCTGGCCCCCCCACCCCCCCCACCCGCACCAGGGAAGGGAAAAGGGAAGGGGCTTCGCTTCGAAGTATTGACGACGTTCAATCAATTGCTTGGCACGGCATGTGCAAGGAAGAAGACTCTGCTGACGGAGATTGGGAGAACGGTGAGTGAAAGCTGGATGCGGCTAGAGAAAGTCGAGCAGGAAAGAAACCACGACGCGAGCGGAGAAGCCCCTCACACACGCCGACAGGGTCGGCGGATTTTCTGAGTGCCTGATAATAGGTGGGTCTGAGTGCGAGGGAGTTTTCACACGGGCGGCTGAATACGAGCTAATCCGTGTGTGAGCGCCTGGACGCGCATGGGTCAGGGTGCGAGGGAGCGTAAGCCTGTGTGTGGCTGGATATGAGGTGCTCTGGGTGCCAGAGGGCATGAGTTTGGATGGGCCAGAGCTCGCGCAAGTGCGGCCATTCGTGAAGTTCTTTGTTGTCGTTGGGGGGGGGCGCCCTGGCAGTCCTCACAGTCTGGGCGCGGGTGGGCCCACATCATACCCTCGTGGGCGGCTCAAATACCGCGCCTGCTATGTACAGCACGGGGGTCCTGGGGCCCTGGGGCGAGATGGGTCCACGGAGCCAGTGCTGGCGTGTCGCTTGAGATGCCCCCGCGCTCTGGAGGCGACCAGGTCCGTGTCAGACCGCCGAGCGATCCCCCCCCACTTGGGATGCCCAAGCGCAGTTCTTGCAGCATCGCGGCTGCGAAGTGGCTCCGAGAGGAGAGTCGCCCACTGGGCCCAGGCAGGCGTCTCGCTCGGGAGGTCCCCACGATCTGGGCGCGAGCGGGCCGGCGGAACGCCCCTTATGGTCGAGACCCCACTGAGAGGTTCGAATGCGATGCTCGCCACTCGGGCGAGTGCTACTTGGGGGGGGGGGGGCGGCCCGAGTGGGGGATGGAGAGAGGGACCCTCAAGGGCACCTTTCGGGCCCCTTCCTCCACACCCCAGTTGAGGCACCCCCCTCAGCACCTCCCTCCTCCCTCCTCCCCCTCCTCCTCCTCCTCCTCCTCCTCCTCCTCCTCCTCCTCCTCCTCCTCCTCCTCCTCCTCCTCCTCCTCCTCCTCCTCCCCCTCCTCCTCCTCCTCCTCCTTAGACTCAATTTCCTGCTGCTGCTCCTCCTCCTCCTCCTCCTGACAAGAGGCTCGCTCTCTTGCCTGCTGGACCAGAGCAGGCGCCCCGACGGACCCACGGCACCTGGGGGCGCACGGGCCCGAGAAGCCCCCCTGGGTCGCTACCCCTCTGGGTGGGCGGACGCCTGCCACACCGTGGCCACCCATGATGCCATGCATCGGAGATCCGGGGCCGAAGTTTTCGCTTCGAGTGTCTTCGCAAGTCGGGCGCGAACGGGCCCGTGAGACACCGCTGGTCGCTACCCCTTTGGGAAATCAAGTGCCTGCTTAGTCGTGGCCATCAGTGCTATGAGTGGGGATCTGGAGCCACAGCTTTTGCCTCGGATGTCTTCACAATCTGGGCGCGAGCGGGCCCGTACAACGCTTCTTGTCCAAACTCGCACGGGTGGCATAGAATGCAAAACAAGCTTCTACCTCGCGGTGTCCATGAGGCTCCGAGTTGTCATTCGTATGCTCGGATCCAAGCATGCGAGTTCTGAGTACCGGTGAGCTTGAGCACGAGATCTGAGTTTGACTGGATCTGAGTATGGGTGGATACGAGTATGAGTGAGTCTCTGAATGAAGTATGACTGCGCCGGATCGTGATGAAGCCCGAGTGCGAGTGAGTCTGAATGTGGGTGGGTCTGAGTGTGTGTGTGTGGCCTGCGTATGCATGAATGTGAGTGCGAGTGACAGTGGGACAGGGCGGTGAGTGAGAAGGCGGGTGCGCGACACCATTCACATGGCTTCTGACAGGGGGAAACGGTGAGCCATATGATGGAGAGGCGGCCCCGGGGAAAGGGTGGAGTCCGAGATCCCCGTGGAGCCCACGTCACGAGCAAGGAGGAGCGGGTGGCGGCCTCGAGGGGCTGGCGGCTCGAAGCGCAACGAACCTCGTCGGAGGTCCGAGGGCCGGGCCGCCTTCAGCGCGGGCGGCTCTCCTCAGCAGGCCCGTGTCCACACGCCCCCTCCCCCAGCGCGGCGCAGTCCTCCTCTTCCTCCTCCTCCTCCTCCTCCTCCTCCTCCTCCTCCTCCTCCTCCTCCTTTTCCTCTTCCTCTTCCTCTTCCTCCCCCCCCCTCCTCCTCCTCCTCCTCCTCCTCCTTTTCCTCCTCCTCCGCCTCCCCTTTCTCCTCCTCCTCCTCCGCCGCCTCCTCCTCCTCCTCCTCCTCCTCAGAGGTGTGAGCCCTGCGACTGCGACGTCTGTTTCCGGTGCCACCCGTGCCCCGGGGAGGCGCGCCCGCCGCCCTGCCGCACCCCGGGGTGCCCAGCGATGCGGTTCCTGGACGGCGGAGCCTCCACCTCGGCGGACGGGTACTTTTGCGACCTCTGCGGGGGCTCCTCCGTGGACGGGCACCTCGGCGGCGGGCTGTCGCGCTGGAGGTGCGAGGCGTGCGACTACGACGTGTGCCTCCGGTGCCGTGCGGGCCCGAGAGGAGCCACGGCGGCGCTCGCAGGGCCCCCTCCCGCCGGCGCAGCAGAGGAGTTCCGGCGGAAGAGAGCCTCCGCCGCCCTGGTCCAGAACCTGCCGCCCCACCTTCACCGGGAGTCCCTCGTCAGGGAGTTGCAGCGCTTGGGCTTTCAGCCCGACGTCCACTGGCGGTCCCTCGTCTGGGGGCCGGCAGGCGGCGGCGGCGGCGGCACCGCCCTGCTGACCTTCAGGTCGCCGGAGGTCGCAGCGCACTTTGCGGCGGACTGGCTTCTCGAGCGCCGGTTTGGACAGATGCCGTGGGTCTCAGCGCTCGAGGGCGCAGCCGAGCCGACGCCACTGGTGGCTTCAGCCGCTCATTTTGTGTCTGCAGATGCCCCGCCAGGCCGCTGGTTGGCCGCAGCTGCTGACACGCCATGCCCCTCTTCCGAGCAGCACCAGCAACGGCATCGACAAGAAGATGAGGAGCGCGGGATCGTTAATCAAACGAGAAGTTGTTGGATGCACGGAGCCTACCTCCGCCCGGCCAACTCGTCTCGAAGCCGCAGGCCTCGCTCTTGGCAGACTGGGGGGGGTCTTCAGCGGGCGCAGGTTGCTGTAAGCGAGTTTGTGTTGAATTGCTGCTTCCGAAGAATAGATAACGTAAACCAGAGAAGAACCCTAATCAGTGGATGTTCTGTTGATTAGTAATATGGATATGGATTTGGAGATCGATTGTGAGATCGATCGTGAGATCGATCGTGGGATCGATAATGAGAACGATAGTACGGTTGGTCGTCATACCGATAGTGAAGGTGATTCAGTTAGATCGATTGTGAGATCTCACTGTAGATCGGTCGTGCGATCTATAGTAGATCGATGGTGAGATCGATCGTGAGACCGACTGTGAGATCGATAGTGAGATCGATAGAGGTGGGTAATGAGATCGATGGTGAGACCCATCGATGAGGAGATCGACCAGGTACCCTGGAACCCAGAAACCCAGGAACCCCGCCGCCCACCGAATCGGCCTGGAACCAGCAACCGGGAACCCGCGAACACGGAACCGGGAAACCCAGGAACCTTGCCGCCAGCCGAACGGCCGGGAATTTCCGCCAAATCCGTCAACATCCGTCAGGACCCCTTCAGTGCAAGCCCTGATTGGGGAATGTTCCGTGGCCGCCAGTGTCTCCGGGCCCAGCCAGCCCCGCTGACCGAGCGCTCAACGGGCGGCGATCACCCTGGTCGGACCCGGCGCGGGCCTTGCGGGGCCGAACTCCTGCCAGCCCCGCCCCCAGAGCCTGACCCCAGCGTGCCCAGCATGAAGAGGATGCGTATGTTTAAGTCGGGCCTGTCCCCCCACAGGGGGGTTTTCGACGAAAAAGATAAGATACCCCAAACATAGTCAAACAATAGTCCAAAAATAGTCTGGGGATTATTTTTCGAGGATTGTTTGACCTTTCTGGGGTACCTTCGGTTTTTTTTTTTTTTTTTTTTTATATATATTTGTTCGTCGAAAATCCCCCCTGTAGGGGGACACGCCCGACATCAGCGTATGTGTCCTGTGCCGGAGGCTTCCTGCGCTCTCGCGCTCCGAGGGCCCTCCCTGGGCTCCGGCGAGACATTCAAGCAGGGTCGAGTATAGGTTTGCCCTGCATAACCCCAGGAGGGGAAAAAAACACACAGACACAATTAATCGTCGATTCCTATGAAAATATGGGAAAATATGGGAAGTGGGGGGAAGACAAAAACCCAGAAAATATAAGAAAATATGGGGGATATTTTTATTTGTGTGTATTTATTTGTGTGTCCTGGGGCCCCTTCAACAACCCCAGGGTCGAGCGCGCGTTTCCGCCAACGCCCTCCCTGTTCGTGCCAGGAGCAGGGACCTGCTGCTCAACGCAGCGCATGCCCACCGCCCTCTCTTCGGCCCTGGCCGCCCAAGCTTGGCCCGAGCAGAGTCGGGGCAGCGCAAGACTCGAGTGAGCCAGAACTCGGGTCTGCCGAGCTGTTTGACGAGCGCGCCCTGGATTTTGACGGCCCCGTGTTCGTGGGATGTCTGCAGCGGGAGCCCGCGTCAAACTTCAGATTGTGCCTCGCCATTTTTATGATGGCCCCGTACCCGAGTCTTAGGTCTCCCCGACAGCAGATGAGGTCCATCCTCGCCGTGCCGCGGATGCATCGGCGAGGCGGAGCGATCCGGAGCACGCTCTGTTCCAGCACGGCGTCGGCGATGCATGGGTGCCGCGGTGCGGACCTCGGGCCCCCCTTGCGGAGGAACGGTGGCCGTCGAAGCTCTGCTGCCCGCAAGGGCGCCGCACCTCGTCCAGCCCCCGCCGCGGCTTCCCCTTCCCCTCCCGCCCCTGCCCTGAGAGCCGAACGATTCGAGTGGATACCCGCCAGTCGTCGAAAGCAGGCATTTCTGGACTCCCAGATCCCCATCTGCTTCAGGCGCCTTCCTACTTCAAGAGTCGAGCGGTTTCCCCTCTCAGGGGGCGGGTGGGGACCCAATCTACAAGCAACGACTCGCCACTGAATGTTTCTACCCGCTTCTTCCGACCGACGGGTAATGTGTTCTGCTGCCCCTCCCCCCCAGTCGGAGTGCATCCCGGGCTCCGTGTCGGTCGCAGAGGCTGACGCCGCCGCGGTGCAGGCTGGTTGCGTGGTCACGGTCGGGGAGCCGATCTCGTACTGTTATACGAGCGCCCCCGGCAGCAACTACGAGCTCAGAGAGGGCTTGCGCGGGATCGTCAAGAGGATAGACGGGTCAGGCGACGCCCTCGTCAGCTGGGAAGCGATGGGAGACAAGTGGGTCCTGGCGACTAGCTTCCCCAAGCTGGTGGTAGAGATCCCGCCGCAGTGCGACAGGTGCGAGTGCTTCATGAGGCACCTCGGTGTTTCAATTCCTTGCGAGCGGCGAAGGGGAGAGAGAGAGAGATGAACCGAGAGAGAGGAGAGAGAGAGAGAGAGAGAGGAAGAGAGAAAATAATGAAAGAGAGAGAGTGAGAGAAAGAGAGAGAGAGAGAGAAAACGAAAGCAATAATGGAAGTGGAGGAAGAGGAGGAAGACGAGGAAGAGGGAGTGGGCCGAACTGGTTCGGTTCGGTCCTCCTCGAGGGCGCGAGTCTCAGCTCATGGCTGCCGGGCGGGTGCCGCCACCCGGGGAAGGCGACAGCCGAGGTGAGCCCCACAGGGGCCGAGGCTTTGGCCACAAAGGGGGGCCCTAACAGACTGACGCAGTCGCGCTCTTCGGCCTCGAGCGAGGGGAGGAATTGAAAAGGAGAAGGCCGAGGCTTTGGCTGCGAAGGGGAGTGAGCCCCACGGGGGCCGAGGCTTTTGGCCACAAAAGGGGCCCTGACATACTGACGCAGTCGCACTCTTAGGCCGCGAGCGAGGGGAGGAAACGAGAAGGAGAAGGCCGAGGTTTTGGCTACGAAGGGGAGTGAGCCCCACGGGGGCCGAGGTTTTGGCCACAGAGGGGCCCTGACAGATTGACGCAGTCACAGTACCGTCGGGGCGCTGAAGAAGGAACCCTTCTCGTTGAGGAGGGGCTCGGTGTTCCTTGATTGTTTCACAGTTTGCCTGAGGATTGTTTTAGGCTTTCGAAGGTAAATCGAAGTTGAAGTTGTGGGAAAAGGGGCCTCGTTCCATATTTAGGGTTCCTTAGGTCAACGCCCCGACTGTATTCGGCTGCGAGCGATGGGGAGGACATGAGAAGGAGAAGGCCTTCTCAGAAGGCTGCGGGGGTTCTCCAGAACCCTCGCGCTGAGAAGTTTCCTGCGTCGTCGGTGAAGGCTTAGACAACTTCTCAGAAAGGCAGGGGGACTTCCGAGCCTCCTGGGGATGTCCCGCCCCTTCTCGCTCCCCCACCCGGCTTGCCGCCGACAGACTGAGGCCGTATGAAGGCCAAGAGATGGAGTGCCTGATACTACGCCTCCTGCCCGCTGCTCTCCCCCCACCTCGTGCACGGCCATCTGGGTGTCCACAGCGCCACGCCCCACAAGTGCGGGCGCGAGCGCGGCGGTGGACGGGGAGAGAAAGGCACGGAGGGAATATGACGGGAGGCCAGGCGAAGGATAACGCGTAGAAGCCACTCCCCTACTATGCCCCCGTCCGGCCCATACAAGCGTGAGGATTTGCAAACTAGAAGGGCTCAGCCGCCACTCGGGTGTTCCAGATGCGCGCGGTGTGACCACCTTCTGCTTCATAACAAAAAAAGATCACGAAAGTCTGTCCGGACAGAGCTAGTCAGTTTGGGTGGAACAGGTGGAGCACTTGGCGGAACAATGCCATCCAAGCGCACGGGTACTCGTCGAGCTGCCTTGGCAGCCTAAGTTCTTTTTCGCCTCCCAACACGTGCAGCAGCTTGGCTTGCACTTCGATGGAGAAGCTAGGCGGAGGGAGGAGGCGCATGCGATTCCACCCACACAGGTTCTGCAGATGTCTGACATGCTGCTTCAGCGGCAGTCAGGGCATCAGGGCGAGGGACTCAACGCTCATGCCCGGCAGAAACAATGGACACATGTTGAATAGATACTGCTTGGAACAAGCGCTGAAAAGCTGAAGCGTTGAGTCTTGCTGAGCCTCTTGAAGTCGAAGGCAGGCCCGTGGGAGGGCCCATCATCACGAATACGATTCGGGTCCACGAAAAGCTTCAACTGATTATGGATGTCTGGTTTCGAAGAAACGGTTGCATGGAAATTCGATCGTTGTGTGGTATTGGCTTTTTATTCGTGATACAGTGTTTGGGTTTTTCCGTGGGTGCCCACTTCTGCTCAGGACTCTGTCGCGAGTGTGCGACAATAAATAGTCTGTCGCCATCCTTCCAACCTGCCCCTGATGCGTCTTCACTGCACAGTGGTAGCGGAGCGCGACCTGTTCCAGCGAATCGGTTTGAGCGCCACGGCGCTATGCCACGGAAGCTGGAGCATGAGCAGGAGAAGCCACACTGGAGGCAGCAACACATACAGCGACAGCGTTCAGCAGTCAGCATAACGCGGGGCTAGCGTTCAAGAGGTATTTGGGGAACACGGTGTAGAATACGGCCTAACAGCTTGAGGCCCGAAACGAACAGTGAAAGTGAAGAGGGCGTTGGACGGCACGCTCGACGTGAACGACGTGAAGGTGCATAACGCTTGCTGGCTGACGATCTCTGGCGTTCGGGCTGGCCGGAGATCCATGCCAGCTACAACAGGGACAAGATTCAACATGGATCATGTAAGAAATCGGCGCGGTGGCACGGAGACGACCGGGGCGAGAACTGGTCCGACGAGCCAGAACAGGAACGATTGGAACGCCACCGACTGGAGCCAGAACGAGAACGCCGACTGTAGCCAGAGCAACAACGACTGGAGTTAGAACGCGAACGACTGGAGCCAGAACGAGTCGGAGAAATCATACATGGAATATCCCGAAACGTTCATGATGGGCAAGACGGATTGCACGATGATTGAGCAACGCATGTATTCCATTGACAAGTAGCACATCATATCCCGAAGACGCTGGGTCGCAGCACGCAACGCAAGTTCGAGGACATCTCCAGCAGTGCACTGCGGTCCTCGCTGACGAGGCTGGACGTCCCCAGCGGCCAGCGGGTAGAAGACGAGAAACACTGGGCCGCCAAAGGCTGTCTCCTTCGATCAAGAGAAAGCAGCAGGACAGGGTAGCTCAGAACTGCAATCCGTCTCAAGCTGGATGGCGCATGTCAGAGATCTTATTCTTGGAAGAGAGAATGGACCCCGACGACAGCGGGGCGCGGATGCGAAGGGTCTTCTCGAAAAAGGCTTCGAGATTACGGGAGAGCGATAGTAGCGGGCAGGCGCATGGGCGCGTGCAACAGCGACAATATCGGGCCCGCACCGTCTCGGCCCAAGCTGCGCCCCCTGCGGGCGGCGCTGCGCCCGAGGGCGTCGCCGGGGAGCGGAGCGACGCATCGTGGCTGATTTCAAAGCAAGGGCGGCTCATCCTAGCATCCATTCAGGGCGCCGAGATCGACGAGCCGGGCGCCCGCGACGTGCCGACGAACTTGGCGCTGGACAAGGATTGGACCTGGAAGGGAACGCGGACTGCGAGCGGCAGCTGGATGCGGACAGGCGCCCAATCATCGGGGCGCTGGCGTCGACCGACTTCGGGGGCCGCGCTTGTCGATTGAGAAGCTTGTGAAAGTCGCCAATTGCCGCGCGCGCAGGAAGCCAGGGATCCGGAGTCGCGAGCGCCCAAATCGATGAAAGCAGCCGTCTCTGGCAGTGGAAACAGGGAGCCCCGCACTGACCAGCCACGCGCCACGGCTGCACCTGCCTCCTCGCGGCCGCGGCAGGGGCGACTCCGACTCGGGCGAGGGGGGTCGCCCGCGAGGCCGCGGAGGCTGCGCGAGCTCGTTCTCGGCGAGTGGAGATGCTGCCCGCGATTGGGGGCGGCGACGTCGCGGTTGACGCGGCGGCGGGCCAGGCGGCGCTCGGCCCTCGGGCGCTTCAGCGAACAGAGACAAGACGGGCCGAGCGCGGGGCAATATCTTCATGTTGTCCCGAACGGCCAGATATCGGCCCAGGGGCTGGCACTGGGGGCGCCCGCCCCGCTGCCCCGCCCCTCGAGGTGGGCGTCGCGCGACGCTCGTCGGCCGCCTCGGCCTACCGGAGAACGTTCTTCTGCCCGAGGCAGCGCGGCAGATGCGCGGACAGCAGGCCAGTGACTTGCCTGAAGACAAAGTGCAGACGCGTGTCTCTCCTCGCCCTTCCTTCCGCCTCTTCCCGGGCCAGTCGGGCCTCTTCCATTCTGCCGGCGATGGCAGTCGCCCCGCGCCAGTGAGACGGGGCGGCGCCGTGGCCCGCGGGCCCCCTGGCGCCCGAGTGTCCAACGCCGCTCGCGGAGGAATCAAGCCTGCAAGTGCCCGGCAAACGGCTGGGCAACTACAAGAGAGCCACGGGCCCCGTCGAGGTTTTTCAGGCGGGCGCCATTTTCATCCTTCTTCGGCCCCTCCAGACCTGGGATCTCGGGGCCTGGGGGCGATTCGGAGGACGCCGGGAGGCATTCGGGGGAGCTCGGACGGTCGCGGGGCCAGAGACAAGGACTCGGCCGCGCGGTTCCGATCCAGCTGCTGGCCGTTCTCCAGAGACCGTCTGGGGCGCGGCGATCGTTCGGAGGGGCCGCGGCTCGAAGGCGCGCGTCGAGGCGGCGCGCTGGCCGCCCGAGGCGGGGGCGGTTCTCCCTGCTGAGCACGTGCTGACGGGGAGACATCCTCAGGTGATGTCCGTGGGCGAGAAGTTCGCGGCGCGCCCATCCTCGCGCCGGAACGCCGATTCGCGGGCGAAAGGTCTCGGTCTTCTCCGCGTGGAGCGGCGCGATCACCACTGGCCTCTCAAGATGAAATGGCCCGAGCAGCAGCGCGCCGGCACGCAGCCGGCCCGCCGCCATCCATCCGGTCGCGCGCTGTCATGCGGCGACCCTTGTGGCGGCTGGAAAATGTGCGAGCCCCACGGCGTGGGGGCGGCATGCGTCGCGAAGTCCATGCGGGTCAAGCCGCCGCCGCGCTCGTCGGCCATGAACCTGCGCGACTGACCATGCACCCATGGGGGCTGGGCGCTGGGCTTCCGTTCGAGCGACCTTCGGCGACGCCGAGAAGGCCCGCGCGGCGGCGGAGCAGGGCGGCGCCGGAGCCCCGGAGAGGCGAACGCCTCGCGAGCGGGCAAGCAGACTGATGAGATGAAACGGCACCGCGCCGCAGAAGCGCATGGCCCGGGGCCTTCGAGACCTGGGGCGCCGCCCTGGGAGCTCGAGGACACGAGGATGGTGCAGCGGCAGAACAGGATCATGCTGCAGCAGATCGCGGCCCTGGGGGCGGCGGTCCAAGGCCCCCTGGCGAAGCGGCCCCAAACCGCGAGGGCGCCGTCG